TGGAGACCATTGCTATTAGGTTGGAGACCATTGCTATTAGGTTGGAGGCAGTGAGTCGATCGGAGTCAAGTCGATCTGAGCAGCACACCCTCGAGCGCCATCTGTCCGTCCTTCGGTGCCGAAGGATCTGACGTTCTGCACCTGTCAACTCTTCGGTCATTCCAACTCCGTTGGATCGGTTGACTCGAAATGCAGTGGACATTAGACTGGCTTTCTTTTTCTTCACCAGCTAGTATGTCATTTAAATGGACCCTTCAACCATTTTCAACCCTGTCAAAGTCTGGTGCGTGTGTGTGTGTGTGTGTGTGTGTGTCGATACTGAGGATGCGGCTGCTATAGTGGACTCCTCTTTGTTGAGTGTACATAGGATCCTGAGTGGCCAGAATTGGTGAAAGAGATTTTTTTGGGTCGACTGGCGCAAAAGGTGAAGACTCCTCCAGGACTTTCAACATCCAAAGGTCAAAGAAGGAGAAAAGAACCAAATGATTAAATCACAGCAGTCGGGCCGCTTCGATCCGAGCACCAGGCCCCTCGTATCTTATGTCCGAGGTGGTGATCAAGCTGATCTTGCTCCCAATGTATGGCACGCCACTCGACATCGCCTGGACCACAGGCAAGACTCGGATTCAGCGCTTGCACATTGGAGCAGGGTATCTCTTGGGTTCATCCACAGGGCAAAAGAAATGTTGAGTCCCCATCTGTGCACAGCGCACTGTCTGCATGAACTCAATGCTTCGTAGGCTGAACCCGCAACATCTGCTCAAGCAGTCAGAGTCTAAGAAAGCGGCTGAGACAGCTTATCTGGGCGTGCAAGAGGTTCAGCAGCCTCACAGCCAATGTTTGTCCAGATTAGAAGGGCACGTTGGCACTGGCACAGCATGTTCGAACAATTGTTGCATATGCGTCAATAGAGTGAATAGCTGTTGCCATTGTCTTTTATTCAGTGATTAAGGTAATAAGCTGGGGCGAAGAAATTTCAAGCGGCCGTTGTTCAAAGAAGCCTCGCTCTCTGTTCCTGTCAGTCATTCTATTCTGACGTTAAACTCTCCTTCGACCACAGACCCTGATTCCAAACATTTCTGGCTGGGGCAGGTGCTATTCACTGATATGGAACCACACCAAGTCCAAGCCAAGGAGTGGTTCACCTTGCCGCAGTTGCACGGTGTCTAAACTTGAAGTGAAGCATGCTGATCCCACCTCTGTGATAAATGAACCAGTTTCAGCCAAGCTTGCGCAACATTGTTTGAGCCAATGCTATGTGCTACCGAACCGATCATTGATTTGGCTGGACAAACAGTATGCTTCTTGAACAATCGGACCACCATTTTATCGTCCAATGGCAGAAAGCTTCTACAACAGTAGCCAGTAATCAATATTCCTGTCATACACAGCCAAGGATCAAAAATAGCAAGTAGCTGCGTCAAAACAAAGACCTTTTCCACGCCCGGTTCATAGGAGCTCACAAATCAATGCACCTAGCACCACCTCACATAAGCTGCTCTGGATGTGACAAATTTCACAAATTGTGACCATCTTCGTCTGCCACGTCCAAAGGCAAGAGTTAAAGGCCTTAGCCTCTACAAAAACGGGCCAAGGCTGAAGGAAGCTTGGCAGGGGTCAATTTCCGGTCAAAGGGATTTTTCTACAAAGCTGTTGGATCATGAAATCTTGCATCCATTGGGCTACCTCGAACTCCAGCTGGAGTGTCAATAAATTCAAGACAATCCTTCCCCGACCCCGATCAAGAATGCATCCTCACTTCGGAGCATCTATTCATGAACAATGCACACCTTTCTCGCCTTTCTCTTTCATCAAAGCAAGGGCACTTATTGCATTGCTAGTGTGAGAAAATCAACCAAAGTGCAACATGTCCCTTCCAAAGTCTGTTTGTGGCTTGTCGCAATTTTTGCAACTGCCGCTACTCCCATTTCAGCTAAAGGATCTTGCTCAACTGCCTGGCGACAACGATTATTCACTGGAACCATCCACAGTCTGTGTTGCCTACACTGCTACAGCCCGATTCTGGAGTCAGAACGAAATCAATGAAATTATGCTCCTCAACGTCACGCCACTGTTGCTGTGTCGATCACTGATTGAAAATGATGGTTAAAATATATAGATATGTATATCTGTGTGTGTCTATGTGTATCTTGCAGGGGTGGAGGTGGACACCCAGGTTCAATGTTCTCAGAGACATTTCAACACAACCATGAAACACGACATGAAGTCTGCTGGGAGATTAGGAAGCACACTCAAGAAAGAAAATCAAATGGAAGCTAAGTGTGTGGGATGAGAGAAGCTGTATTAAAAAGGGTGCAGGATAAGGTGAGTCGGATCGGAGAAGATGGCTGCGAAAATAAGCACAAAAAGACAAACAAGCTGGCAATGATACTGAGCAACAATGGATGATTGCTAAATCAATACAGTGCTTCTTGGGCTATCTTCTGTGCTTTCTCTTTCTCTCTCTTTTTCTTTATCTTTCTCTTTCTATTTCTATTTCTCTTTCTCTTTCTCTCTCTCTCTCTCTTTCTTTTTCCCTCTCTCTCTCTCTCTCGCTTGCTCGCTGTCGCCTTTTCCATCCTCCATCTGCCGAGCTCTTTGGAAGTGCAGCAAAGCAGTCTGCAAGCAACCAGGGTCAAGGAAGTCTTGAGTATCTCCTACCTCAATCTTTACACTTCGATTTGTTCAAAAATATCACAATTTCGCCTGGAGTTGTTGCAGGAAGTCTTCCTTGCCGGGAAGCACCTGAGGTCGCAAATGTACAGCTTGTGTGGCAAGTTTAGACAGAGTCAGAGTTAGACTATAAACAAAAGAATGATAGGGAGCAAAGCCCGTCTTGGAGTCACACTGGTTTTGCCCCTCCGGCCCATGCTCGATCAGAAACCCTGGCCAGTGCTCGATCACAATGCTTCAAACATCGTCGTATCACTGATCACCAGGGACTTGGACAAATAGATAGTATATATCATATATATATATATATATTTGCAAGCATGTCAAGGGCACAAGTCTGAGAAATTCTGAATGTCTTTCTTTCCAGTCCTCAGTTCAAAAGGAGTTCGTGCAAAAGCAAGAATGAACTCCGCACCAGTGGGGACGGAAACCTCTTGCTCACTGAGGTTACTGCTGCTTCTGCTTTTCATATTCTTCCATTACGGCCTGGTACCTGCTTGAAATCCACTCTGCTGCCTCTTGGGCATTGAATCTTTGAGCCTGGCAGATCTCAGATCTGGCCACACTTGGTGTTCTTAACATAGACGTTTAGATGAAGCCAGGCGGTTCCAGTCTACCGATGGAAGAGGGAGCCAAAACTCCAAAACCCCCTTCGTTCTGAGCGTCCTCCAACCCTGCAAGCCTATTTCTTTCACTCACTTTTCTCCACAAATTCTGCAGACTCTGCCGACTGGACCGCCCTCCAAATGTGTATGCTGTTGTCGTAGAACGAGGCGGAGGCCACCCGGCCACCCTGGCCAAACCTCACGGAGTCAATGCCTCTTAAGCTTCTTTGTCGCAACGACCCTTAAAAAGCTCAGCATTTACTATTTACAACAAAAATAACTAACTCCGACTGAGCAACTGCCAAGAAATCCCATACCCCAATGAGCCATGAGATCCTTCCTCAGCACCTTGACAATACCCACCCAGCATGTGCATACTGTCCTCCACGCGAAAAATGGGAAAGCCACATCTCATGGCAGCCACTGCAACAGTTCCTGACAGGGGCTGGGAAAGCAGCTGATTAAACACTCTACAAGAATTCCACTCTTGCCCTGACAGGCTCTGACTCCTGGGCATGAAGGATGCCAACTGAGTTGATAGGCCCCATCACCCAGGCGGTCGCTTCGCATCAATGGCTCTTTCATGTGTCGTAGGTCGAACAGTCTCAAGCGCTCGTCATAGCTGCCAGAGAGGACCTAAACTCACACCATCATACTACTAGGAGCAAGGACGCTACTAGGGGCTCCTGGCCATACTACTAGTAACAAGAAGCTATGACGAAAATGCCAAGTCGACGAACTGCCGAGATGCCACGTCCGACGTCGTCGACGAAGTTCGCCGAACCCGGAGCTGGCCTGAAAGGCATTCTGCGGGTTGGAGGCCAAGGAGGTCACCCCAGCCTCGTGTCGATTGCGAAATGGAGCTCCCACATCGGGGCTTCGGAGATCCCAAGCAAGTAGCAACCCATCATCCGCACCTGCAAAGACACAATCTGCTGGAGGAAAATTTCCCAGAGCTTCATGAAATCGCCCAATGACCCATATAAAAGCTTCATGAATTGCATAAATCCCATCGTGAAAGGAAAGTAGCTTTTGTAAACTCGACAGCCGTACCTGTGAGGATTAGATTCTTGTCCATGGAGGAGACCTCCACACACCAGGCTTCGAGCTCATGCTGCTTCCGACTGGCAACTTCTTGTATTTCACTCGCTGCTAGTAGGTAGTGTACCACGCCATCCTGCCCAACCACCACCAAGCCACCTGCCTGCAGCATTTCAGGGAAAGCTCTGTCCCAGACTGTCCAATTGTCCCACTGTTGTCTCACATGGCCTCGCCAGCGCCCCAGCACAAATGGGTGAGGATTCCATCACTCAGCTTGTACATCTCCATTGCACTACTCCCTCGTGGACAAAGGCGCAGCGCACCATCAGCACAAGCACATGCCAGTGCTGCAGTGGACTGCAACCAAGCAATGTCATAGACACCAGGGCCTCAGATGGAGATTACTACTAGCCTACCAGACATTTTGGGCGTCACGAATGAGTTCGTGGAATCGAAAGAGCCAAGGCTGCTGGTCATTCACCTTGCGTAGCTCGAAATGTTGAACTATTGAAAGGCAGGAAACAAGGTATGTTCTGGTTCTTGTTCAAGGAGGTGATGCCATTTTCGCTTTCCACAGAAGCAATGACAAGGGCCCCGCAACGCTCATCAGTCTCTGCATTATGTTCGTACCTCAAGAAACTTTAAGGCTGAGGACAGCACTTCAGAACATTATGTCCTTTGATCAAAAGCCACCTACAAGGACTGAAATCAAACTACATATGTTCAGTCTGGGTACATGCCCCAAGCCAACCAGTCCTCAAGTCCAGAAGCTGGGCACCATTCAACAACATCAGGATGCAACTCGCATGCCTCGACCCGCTCAGTCTTCAAGTCTTCCAGTTCCATCGATTTAAGCCGCAAGTCAACCCAGGCAAAATCCAAAAGGCAGACTGGCCATCTGGAATCGGGATCGAAACACAATTCAAAGCATCCAAACAAACACTCAAACCAAAAGAACGAGACACCAATGCTTGGTTGTGGATAATTCTGGTTTGGGAGTGTAAACTTGAGCCGCTTGGCTGAGCCATATATTTGATCACCAGTGAAGTCGCTGGAACAATGTGTGGAAGCTCTTTGTGGAGCTGAATTGCTACATGGATTTGAACCATTTCTGTGGAACAGTGTCATTCAAAAAGAACATGATTTGCAAGTCTGCACCTCGCCATTGGTGGAGTCGTCAGCACTTCTTGTGCTTTGTGCATCCTTGTGGTGGGTGAATCTCTCAAGACTGTTAGAAGATCTTTGACACATAAACATATCTGTATGTATGAGCAAAAAGGAAGGCTCTCCCAACTGCTTGGGCTTTGCAAGCATGACAAATACTTGCTTTGGGTGTGTGCCTTCTGACGAAAGTTCGACTGGTGTTGTTGTTGGTAGTGAAGGTCCAAAAACAACAAATCGATACAAATCGCCAAACCCTCTTCTAAAATATAGGCGGCTTGAACCACTTGTTGTTACAAATCAATCCATGGCTGTCGTTTGCGATTGGTGTCAATCCAGCTTTTTGCGCGACATCTTGTCATGGTCTTACACACTCCAAAGAGTTGAAGGGCTGGCAAACTCATGCAAACCACATTTAATTCTGGAACAAAAGTGCTTTCAATATGTGATGTCTGTGTGAATTTGTGTGGATAAGTGCGAGTTGGTGAGTTCAAGCAACTCCTTGTCTGATGTTCCACGGCCACTGGAGCGCTTGCCCTGCAAATTCAGGAACTGGAAGCTTGAAAGGCTAAGAGGTCCACAAGGATGAGAAACTAACGAGACATGATTGTGAAGAGAAACTATTGAGCCCCATGGCTCCATGTTGGCCTAGGTTTTCAAGCAAAAGGCTCAAACCTCCTGATAGTAATATAATGAATCAAAGCATGCACGCAAGTTCTCATAATTCTCATGTCGGTCAGCATCAAGCGGAAGCGGGCCTCCTGACCACCCTGGCAACAGTGT